TCTGCACAGTCTAGATCCTGATGACTGCACTCCTATGTTTCTGATACACTGATACTTTTCATAGGACCACAAGAAAGCATAACTGTCATTTTATTTCACTGGACAAAGGTTTTCCCTTTCACATGGATAGAGATGCTGCAGCATGTGCTAGCAACAAGGGTAGCAACAAGGCTCTGAAAGGTTTGTATTATGCACATGGTAAAGCTGGTTTCACCATTTCTTAATGGGTATTATTTCCCATGTAAGTTAGATTAAAGTATTAAAAGAAAGCTCCCTTACTAAATAGATCATAACCACCCTTAGAAAACTTACGCTTTACCTTGAAGAGATATACAGTCAAGAGAATGAAGCCAAATAAAACCACTAGCATCACACACAGTGCCACCATCCAGGGATTCACCTTTGGAAAAAATGGATCTGAAAAACAAAATGCTTGGGAGTTCCATTAGTGTGCAACTGGTGATAAAAATCAAGTGTATTAATTCCACAGAAACATATAACTATTCTCCAACTATTTTCCAACTGGTTTTACCTGAGGGCAGAATGAGAGCAGAATCTCTTCAGCACTCCTCAAAAACCAGAAACTGATTTCAAATATGCCTCTAACTGAGCACGTCTGCACATTCATGAATGCGCCAAAATTACTGAGCATTACATTTAGTATCTGTGGGCGCCGGTACACGAATGTGGAGGCTTCTTCAATGTGCTGGGATCCCGTGTGTTGGAGCAGACTCGAGTAATTGAGTCTGCTGGAGCCTGGTGATTGCCACTCTCCAGCAGCCTCCTGCGTCATGTGTATCAGTGTCCCTGCACTTAAAAATGTCGGTGGGGACACTTGAATTAAATCAATTAAGCATTAGTTAAAGCACCCCTACCAACCTTTTTAAGTATGAGGGTGCTGAGAAAAGGCTTGGTGGCACTTCGTAGCACCGCCCCCCAATTACCCCTGGAGCACATGTAAAAGTGCCCTGAAATACCAGGTACTAACTCAATGTGTAGTAACCAGTGCTAGTGCACAGTAGTGCCAACACATAGTCTTTAAGTGATGCTAATGTGCAGTAGATTAATTCATCTGCACATAAGTGAGGGTTTTACCAAGATGAGTTATGTGCAGTAGAATTAATCTAGTGCACATTATCACCTCATGTAGACATGCCTACTTACAGTTTTAACATGGATTTATCAGTGAAACAACAGGATTTGTCTGATGAAGTGCTTTTTGAAGGACTAAATAATTAAAATTATCAGACTATGTGACTGAAATGATTTCAGAGAGTTACACTAGCAATCAATTTGTTCATTATTATTCAAAAAAGACAGACTATAATCAAGGTAATCAAATTAGTCCAAATATGGATTAGCCACCCATCTTCCCCATATAACTTCTGTTAATACTTCACTTGCACTAAAGGTGGTGGTTTGGGACTATGAATGGCAACCAACCTGATATAAAAATTGCTGATTCTTTCACTTGATTGAGTAAGTTATTTCTGATCCAACAGGACAAGTTCCGGTGCAAATGTTCGTATATAATGATAGAGATTTCTATTTCAAACAGGCCGTCCTCCCTCTTGGATCTGGTTCCAGAAAGTGCTGTTAAATTCTGTCCACTTTGGTCTCTCCACAGCACTCTGGGCTCAGGGAACCACCCTGCTGATCGACAAACCATTCGTATCCCTCCATCCTGGTAATTCTCAAAAGTAATTCGAGGGGCAGAGCCTAAGCCTAGAGGAAAATTAGGGGCATTTCTGAAAAAGTTATGATTGAATTTTGTAAATTGTAAGGCATGGCATTGAGAGCCTTTGCACTCAAGAGGATCGACTACTGTCATTTGTGAAGTTATGCACTGAAGAGCATTGGTATTTCAGTATCTAACTGCTATTCTCCTTGTCGCCTCATGGGGCTCCTATAGATGTGCAGGGAGCTGGCATGATGAGCTGGAAATCCAGTGTGTTGGAGCAGACTCAATTAATCAACTCTGCAGGCACACGGACATTAAGGCACTCCAGCAGACTCTAGTGTCACATTAATCGGCATCCCGCACCCTGAGAAATGGTGGTGAGGTGTTCTGAAAGAAAGACAATTTGATGAACTTTAGTTCAAAGCACCCTGCTGCCATTTTTCAGCTTCGGGGACACTGATACATGTGACACATAGGTGCTTTTAATTAGCTCAGCTTGCTAATTGAGTGCCCCCCCCACACCTCGTGGAACACATGTAAAAATGCCCATGGAGCCCAGAGCCCAAGCTAGGTGCTTCAGTTCCCTACCCACAGGATAGGGAGAGTCAGGCACCTAGGAACATGATCCATAAATGCTACTTGCTAAATGGTCAACTTGGTTTTGGGCCTGGTCTGGAAAGTCACCTGGATTGGGCTGTGAACATGAAATGGGCAGAAGAATGTCTCATTTTGAGTGCCTGCATCACTTAGACAGCTCTTATTATGTCTAGCAGCAAAATCCTAGAGCCAAACCCCATGTCACTTTACATGGCCAAAGAGTTTTCCAGACTCGTAAGAGCCATTTCTGGTACCTATGCTTCATTTGAAGTGTTAGCAGTGGTGTGGGGTGGATGCACACACATCCACATAGCAACTGCACATGCTCAGTAGGCTGCATTCTGGCCAGGCTGGTACATGGCAATGAGTGTGCATACAATGTGTATTAATAAGTCACAAAAGTACATCCCTCAAAAATTCTCTGGCTCTCAGATTTTGATAGAGAAGAAGGAGGCTTGTCCTGTGTTTAGGACCCAGTAGTTGAGATGTCAGGTCACTTGCCTGGAAAGAAAGAGACATGGATCCTAGGCCTGCCTCTCCTCTGCCTCTCCTATACTAGAGGTGACCAAAGCCAGCTGTCTCCTTCCCTGACAGGTGCCCATGGCCACGTGCATCCTTCCTTTATTGGCCTCAGGTGCAGGAAGGCTGCTGAATGACCAGTACCCCATGGGTAACATTGTCTTTCTACTGGTTATCTAAGTGGCCACTTTTTAGTTGTCATATTATGAAAGAAATATCTGTAGGTCATACTAAAATGGCACAGACACAGTCACTGACCTGCTACCCTCAGTTCCAGTATGGCTTCTGCATAAGAAATCCCGTCTGTAACAGAGCAGTGATATGGCCCCTCATCCGACGGTCTAGTATTGACAAACTTCAAGGAAACATGTCCATCCATGAGGCCATCTTTCAACAGCTCTGTCCTTCCGTGATATTCTGGCATCTGCTGTCTGTACTGATCTTTCCCATTGTGGTAGAGGTGCACAAAAGTCTGAGGCTCATGTTGAAACCACCTCACTTCCATGTTCTCCGCACACGTGTTGAGGGACAAGTGACAAGGCAACACTGTTTCCTGCCCCACAATGGCAGTAACTGGCTGATCAGGTCCAATGACCTTAAATTGGGCTGTGAAATGTATGAAGCAATAACTCAAGGGCAGAAGGAAAAGGAGATTTTCCACATGAATCACCAGGAGGCAGATACCCACCTTGGAGGAAATCAGCCAGAACTGGTAAAAATACAAGCAGCTGAAACAGTTTTACCGTGGAAAGCATCATGGTGCAGACACAAGTACCTTTCAAAATATTTCAAGTGTAATGGGCTTTTCCACTGCAGTGCATCTGTGCAGCGCCTGTGGCACCTCTCTCCACAGCCAAGAGCAGCTGCAGGAGGCTGCACAGACTTGTGGCTCCACTCTCCACCCGCTACAGAGAGGGGCTGTAGGGGTGTCTGGGACAGAGAGCAAAGGAGTGCAGGATTTTGACACTCCAGCCCCAAATCCTCCCAACCTCTTCTCTAACCATCGCAGCAGGGAAGAAAGGGACTGCGGACTGGGGCAGGAAAGCACAGGTCTGGTGGTGGCAGCAGCTGAGGTCAGAAGTTTTTCGTGGTGATGTAGGGCTGTGTAATGGTGGTGGGAATGTCCTGCCACCAGGCTTCCAGCTCTCCAGCCCCCATGGCCCAAATCTCTTCTTTTCCTCACTTTACTGGAGCACAAAGGTAGAGCGGAGATTGGGGTCCAGAGAGTCCAGCTCTGGCATCAGCAGTGGGCAGTAAGCAAGCGTCTGCTGGGGAGGGGGCTGGCTCTCCTGGGGAGGGTGCTGGCTCTCAGGGCGAGTCTGGGGCTCCCCGTGGGGACACAGCAACAGCGCAAAACCCAGGGAGACCCTGGCAGCTGAACAAGTGTCAGGCTCTCTCCCCATTCACAGAGCACTGGGAGAGTTCAAAGTCATTTGAAATGTTTCAGTCATTACATCTGCTCCCCTCCCCTGCCATTGGAGGTAAACTTAACTACAGCTGTAGCTGACACCTGCGCCCTTAACTAACGTTACCTGGAGCTATTCAGTGCCTGCACCTGGCAGTTTGTGTGCAATACTGAATGCAATTTTCATTTAAAAGTGTCAGTGTTTTTCTTTGGAAATTTTCTCAAACATTTGCTCCACAAAAATTATGATTATTTTGAATTGTCTGCTTACTTTGCAATGAGAACACATTGGTATATTGGGAAATGTTTTTCTCAAGAGCTTGCTTTTCTTGACCGCTGTGCTTGCAGGTGTGCAGTGGGGTGATGGTGACGTATGTTCAATAGGATGTTGTTAAGGACCATATCCGTACCAACATAGAAAAAGAAATATTGTTGGGGGCAGAACATGTAGTATACCTCTGAGGAGCTTGGTGGAAAAAAAAAACACTTTCTGTATGCCTAGAGAGGTGTGCATGAGTGTGTGCCAATTTCTGCTCAGTTTTCACAAATTCCTTAATAAGATACAATCACTATATCAAATAACTAAATAATTTCCAGAGGAAGCAAAGGGACATGAATTGATGAGGGGATTCCTCCTACCTGATGTTGGCTTGAAGACATGAAAAGACATGAAGAGAACGATCGCACCAGGAAGAGACATGGTCACACTGAAGCATTGAAATGAGGAGGCCTTCTTCTTCATAGTGAGCCAAATACAGAAGTAAAAGGAGCACGAGGAAGAGTATGAACCTGGTGGGTAAAGCAGAGAAGAAGATAATGATCAGTCCCAGTCCCAGAATTTGTCTTATTCTGGTTATGTGCATTCAAGATAAAGAAGATGATTTCTTGTACGTGACACCTTGCCTTCAATGTGTCCAGGTTGGGGCTCCATGTTCATCCTGGAACTATATTATCCTAGCAAGCAGTTTAAACAATTGCAAATGGTGCTAGGTTTCAGCTAAAGGGTGTTTGAATTGAATCTCCAGCTTTTCCACTTTCCTGAGTCCTTGTAAGTTTTTTTTTCCTTTAACAATCCTGCTCTTCCAAGTATTTTTTATACACAAGGAGTAATAACTGCCATGAGAGAGAGAGCTGTCACAGAGCTTGAGTGGATACTTGTGGATACTTGTAACAGCTCCTAAAGCAGGATGACAGACAAGAAGTGCAGACACACAAATGGAAAAGCTTTGGGAAGAGAGAACTTGATGCTGGGCAGCAGAATTATTTCTTGGCCTCTCCTCCAGCTTCCACGGCCTGTCTCTGCCCCGGCATGGCCCTCAGGGCCAGGGGATCCCGCGGCCATTGCATTGAGTGGGTCCTGGGATGCTGGCATGACACAGTGGGTGAGGACCAAGCAGCACAGCGTTGGGGCATTGGCATGGTGTGGCAAGGGGTAGCCCATGTGCTGCGGTGCATCATGTGGCCCAGGGACTGTGTATCCTGCACCCCCAGCCATGTGGAAGTTGGACAGCCCTGATTTAGACATCTGAAAACTGACAAAGTATAACTTAGGCATCTAAAGCTTGTGGAGACTTGCTGACCAACCATGGACTACAAACCCCAGAGGCACGTGGAAGCAGGAAGTGAAGTGAGAAGAAACCCTGCAGAGCCCTGCTGCTGGACCGCACATGCCAGAAAACCTTGGGGGCTGCAGGAAGAGGTCGGGGATCTCTCTGAGCCTGGGCTGGCTACGTGCCAGAACGGCTGGAGCTGATGGTGCTGCCCTGAGCTGAACCGAAAGGGAGAGAAGCCCCTGCACAGCACGGATGAACCCCAGCCCGAGTGCACAGGATCCCTGACCTGCCGCCCTGCACAGAGCGACTCTGGACTAAAGGCTGGTTCTTGGGGACATCCCCAGAGGTGGGGATGGGACTCTACATGCTGAATGTATGTAACCCAGCGGTACTGACCACTACCTCTTTACTTGCCCCACAAGTGTATGTTGTTATACTGTGGATGCCTATGGACCTGTATTTGTCTCTTGCCGTTGGCCTGTTGGCCGGTGACCCTAATCCCTAGGACACTTGATATAAAGTACATCCCTCACTGGCTGTAGTGATGGTGCCTGACACCGCAGGGGTTTGTGACACACTTCTCCCTTCTCCCACCAGCCTGGAGGGTTCCTTCTCCTGAAAACATTCCCGCTGTAGGAGGCCACAGCTAGAGGGATTGGAAACTCAGGTAGAGGAACAGTCCATTCGATACAAGGTCTTGCCACATCCCAGATTTTACTCCTAAAAAGCGGGTACAATTTCTCAAGTCCCAGGTGCCCAACAGAAAGGAGGAGCCTTGCTCTATGCTGAAAGGGGAGAGAAAAAAGGGTATACACAAATGGCAAGTAGCAATAAGGCAGCAGATTGTGTGCATGGTTTGGAAGACACAAAAAGTGATCGACTTCCTCCTTCTTATCCTAAGAAGGAAAGACAACTGTGGCTACATAAGAGTAATAAATTGGTGGTGCCATTTCCTTAAGTGGCTGTTTTTAGTTACTTAAGTGCCAAAAATGCCACTTACATGGAGATAACAGTTGTGTTAGGGATTCAGTCTCAGAGTCTTAGATGTCTATGCAGGGTTTTGTTACTGAATGTGTAGATGACCATGTAGCACATAAGTCCCAAAAGCAAAATTGTGGATGATACCGATTCTCCCAGTTTTAGCTCTTGTACCGAAGTGGTTAGACCACTGGCATGGGAAGCTGGACATCTGGTTTCCAGGATTTTCTTGTACAGAAACGCTTTGAACCTGTATTTTTCTCTTGTTTTGCAGCACCATGGTCTAACCACCATAAGTTAGGGATTCCCCAGACCTATTTCTGGCACTCCTTGTGAATCTTATCCACTGCCCCTTGCATTTACTAGTGACTGGAAAAACTGGTAGAGGCCAGTTTAGTAGCTTAGAACTTTCCTTGCCAAGTGGATTTCATTAATTAAGAACAAACTTCATTTGCCATCATGAACCCCATTCATCTAGCCTAGTTTCTTGTTGTCTTTTTTTTCTCTCCGAAGCTCTTTATTACTGTGTTAAAAAAATCCTTCAAGATTAGAGAGATATGACTCTCCTTTGTAGAAATGGGGCTACTTGGACACAATAAGATCACAATCTTCCAGATATTTTGTGCATCTCTCCTGAATTATCTGTTGTGCCAATTTACCCCATGAAGGTGTAAAACCCACAGCTATATTTATTATTTCCTTGATATCCCTTAGTCCTCACTTGAAATATAGATGCACTGTTTCTCACCCAACACAGCCACCCTGACCACTTCCAACTGAAGCTTTTTCATAACACCTGGGTGATGCCACTTGGGGCTGTTGCCTTTTTACTTTATGAAACCATCCAATTTCACTGGCATCTCTTCTCTGGGTAGCTCAGCCTCTGCTAGTGCTTGATGGAAATAATCTGTCAGCTTCTCTGTCCCTTGCCCTCACCCTCATCATCAACCTCACCCCCTTGCACGAGTTTCTCCTCTGATGGCTGGGCCAAACACACCCCTCAAAGCAGTATCATGGCTCTTAGATTCTGAACTCTGAAATCTGCCTCCTGTTTTCTTTCATATCTGTTGCCCTGCTAATCTTCTTCTTTTGCCCAGTCTTCTCCCAGGAATTTCACAGTCCACACTCACAGCTAAATACAGTTTAAGAACAATTTAAGATTTTACTTTACCTTGCAGCAAAACAGAATCACTGCCCATATGCCTGCTAGGGGTAGAGGTGAAGGAGGAGAAGAGTAGCTTTTACATGCATTTGTCCAGTATATTGGTGTTTAGCTCATTTACCCAAGAAGTGGGAGACCTAGGGTCTAGGTACCATGTCTCCTAAAGGTAGGGTTGAACTGCAGATCCTTAATCCTCCAAAAAAATACTCTAACTTCAGGTTACAACTTGGCAGTTAACTAGATCCTGTGCTTTTGAAGTTCCCTGCACTAGACAGCAAACAAGGGGGCATATGTGGGTCCGGAAGAAAGAGCGCAAGGCAGATGGTTTGTGGCTTAGACAGACACTCCCTAGCAGGGAAGGAGATCTCACCCTTGCTTCCCAGTGTGACAGAAACTTTTCCCATTTTATTTCATAAATATGAAACACACACACACAGACAACCATAACAGCGTGTGGGGCCCGGGGCAAATCTAGGGTGGCCATCGTAGAGGACATTCTGGTTTTCAGCTACTCTGTCCTCTATTGATACGAGACCTGGCATCTTTATGTTCTTTACTTTTCTCTTCAAAAGAAAAAAAAATTGAGGACATAAAGGCGTTCGGTGTCATATCAGTAGAGGACAGAGGACAACCAGACTGTCCTCTATGATTGGCACCCCGGGCAAATCAGCCTGTGCAGGGCCCAGACAGTGGCAGCAATGGCAAGCAACTGGAAATTAAGCCAGCCGCTATCTGAAGGGCCCCCCAAAGCACGGGGCCAGGGCAGTCACCCCGATTCGCCCTGCCACGGAACGGCCCTGCACACACACCTGACCCATCCTATTTCACTGCCTCCCTGCCCGGCCAGGGAACAGCTCCCCTGGACACGCTCAATGGACACTTGCAAGCTTGGACACCCAGGGGTGAACTGCCCGCTGTGCACGAATGCCCTAAACTGCACTTATAGACCGTGCATTTAGCTTGTGGATTTAGCCTTTGGACTTCAATGCTACATCAACCGGTGTGTTAATATTTATCTCCCATGTGAAAAGTGAAATAAGATTTAGCACGAACTTTCTCGAGCATTGGTGAACTTTTCTGAACAGAAGAAAAACTGGTTTGCTTACCCAGTCAAGCTAGCTACCTTAAAAGTCCTTCAGTTTGTCACCCACTAAAAAGCCCTGGCTTTGAGGAAAGTTTTTACATTTCAGAGACACCAATTATCACCCTTTCTCAGGCAGGGCCCCATCCCTTTCCTTCTCTCGCCCAGAGACCAACATGCAACTCTACTGCACTGGAGGTATTTCTAGCAACAAACACACACAACCCTGATGCGCAGCCCCCGCCCTACATAGTCCCGCGGCGCCCCTCACTCCCGCCCCGCCCCCA